ATAGACAACAGCGTGGATGGATCCCAGGGGGATTATGCTGAGTGGAAAAAAGTCAGTCTCCAAAGGTTATATACTCTATGATTCCATTTATGTAACATTCTTGAAATAACCAAATTATAGAGATAGAAAACACATTAGTGGTCACCAGGGCTTAGGGACTGGGCAGAGGGGGCGGTGGCCATATAGAGGGGACCACGAGGAGCCTAGTGGTGGCCGAGCAGCCCTGGATCTTGACTAGTGCTTATAACAACTGATGAGATCTGTGTAAGCTCTGTGGATTGTACCCTTCTCAGTGTCCTGGTTTACATGTGACCACGGGGGGAGGCAGGAAGAGGGGTCACATTTCTTTATGACCTCCTGTGAACGTTTTTGTTTTTCCGGCCACTCTTACGGCTGTGCGGCAATTCTTTTCTTTCTGGATTCCAGGCTTTACCTCGTGGGAGCTCCGGGTCTCCCATCAGCACCGTAATTGTGAGGTGACAGCAAGGGGGACCCCATGCCCCCCCCAGGCATTCGGAACAGACGTGTAATCCTGAAGCATCAGGCTGCCGCCACGAATCCATTTTTCTTCGTAAAATGAAAACGGCTGCAAAATAGCATAGCTTAGCGTTTTGCTATACATATGCACTGTATCCCTTAATTTCAACACAATTACACATGGGGGGGGTGTGTGCGACCATTGTAGAGGAGAAGAAGTTCTCACTGACGTTCTGATGGCGTTTTCCGTACAAATATGTGTGCAGCATCAGTGTTGTTAGCTCAAAATAATGTCAGTGGAATTCCTTCAGTGGATAAAGGCTAAAATGAACTGGCATCCCGTCCTATCCGTTTTCTTGGAATCGCCAGGGCTGGATGAGGCTCAGTGGGCCTCAGAGGCCATGGAGTCCCCAAGTCCAACCTTGTGTGTGTGAGCGCAGGGGTGAGGGGTGGAGCAGGTCTGATAGTGGCCAGCAAGAGAAGCTGCCCACCCCAGCACCCACTCCCGGGCGCCCCGGTGGCGTGGTGACCTCCCGAGCTCTCAGAGCATGAGAGAGGCTTGCGTGGGTTGTTGCGGTCATTTCAAAGGAAGGTCAGCGACAACGCTCTCCCAGAGGAGAGGCAGGAGGGGCGTGGGCCACAGGCGACAGCCAGCCCTGCGCAGTGGCCTTGCGTGCCAGGGCTCTGGCACGTCTCAGCCCGTGTGTGGACTTTCTCCAGGTGTTGCCCAAAGACCAGCTCTCAACCTGGCGTGTGTCCTGTAAAGAAACCATCCTATTTGCTGTGCAAACGTTAGGTCTTTGTACTTCCCTAAAGAGTAGGGAGGCAAAAACACCGCGGAGAACCCACAGCCGTGAGTTTCTGTCCCGCTGCGCTGAGCAGGGTGGCCCCACTCCCATCTGTGTGGAAACTCTGGTGGGGACCCAGGCTGCTCCAGGAAGGCCGGGCTTCCTCATTTTTTTTTTTTAAGTGGAATTTGCAACAGCTTCTGCCCAGAACATTTGTGTCCAAGGCCCTTTCATCTCCCAGGCATCCTGTACGACGACCACGCGGAGGTTCTGGAATCCTTCCCACTGCAGCTGGGTCACAGGACCAGCCATACGGGGCGAGCCTGCTAAAGTAACGAAATGATCATCTCCCTTCTGTGACCTCTGTCTTGTATTTAGACATGAGTCTTAATAGTACCCCTTCTGAGGAACGAGCAGGAAGCTCCTTTTGTCTCCTGCCAAACGGCCCATCTGTTAGCGGTAGGGGGAGGTCCGTCAGTAAGTGCTGGAAGCCCAGGGCACAGGGGCCAGTAGGGCCCCAGGAATACATCTCTGACACCACTTGATCCACAGACGCGGACGGGCCTTCCCTCCCCTCAGACTGACCAGCAGCCCAGGCTTACAGCGAGAGCACCAGAGAGAAAAACGTAGAGTGTGCAACACCTACATCTGTGAAACTACCACAGGGATCAAGACAGAGGTGCTGCTCAGAGTGGGCCGTGGACGCGAGGCCGGTCCGGGAACTGGCTGTAGCAGTCTGCCAGCGACATAAACAGCTGGAGCTTAGAACGCAGACCAGCTGTGTCACTGAGCGCACGTCCGAGAGGGGCTGACCGGATTTTGGGCAGCAAAACTCTGTCAGGAAAGCAGTGTGCCCATCACCTTCCGGCCTGTGCTTCCATGCATTGCAGACGGCCACTTTGAGCAGCTTCGTGGAGTAGCTTGGGATGGTCCTAAAACCATCCCTAGTACGATATGGTGTAAAAGAAACATCACAAACCGACAGGGAAGAGGAGGTTTACGCTCCAAATTAGGTTTGGAAAGTTGACCATGTGATGCTCCTGAACTTTAAGATTTTATTTATTGGAGAGAGAGCAAGCTGGGGGTTGAGGGGTGGGAAGGAGAAAGGGCAGCAGGAGAAACAGGCTTCCTGCTGAGCAGGGAGCCCGATGGCGGGGCTCGATCCCAGGACCCTGGGACCATGAACTGGGCTGAAGGCAGACACTTAACCGACTGAGCCACCCGGGCGCCCCGAATGCTCCTGCACTTTACACACAAATTGAAGTAGAGCTGGATTCAAAAGTGAAAACGGGGAACAAAATGTAACCTTCCAAAGAAACCAGAAGAAAAATATTGAACCCATCTCCCAGTGTGGGAAAACTTGAGTTCAAATATCCTTTCAAATTACCAAAGTAATAAATGCTTTTTGTAGAGAATTGATAAAGCATTAAAAGAAAGAGTTACCTATGCTCCCACCTCCTGGATAGAATCACCACTGCTCTTCTGCTTTATTTCCTCTGATCTTTTATCTGTTCATAGAAATATTTAATAAAACTAGAATCATGTGATACATACTATTGTGTCTCATCCTTTTCCATGAAATTAATTATTTTAAAGTAATGAAACAAAGGGAATGCGAAGCTACGTATATAGCATGATCTTGGTGGTAGTGGTTTGGTTTGGTGGGGTTGGTTTATATACTATTCATTAAATACATTACATTACTATTCTTCAAAATCAAGTTTAGGGGCGCCTGGGTGGCTTAGTCGGTTAAGCGTCCGACTCTTGATTTCAGCTCAGGTCATGATCTCAGGGTCGTGGGATCAAGCCCCACGTGGAATCTGCTTGAGATTCTCTCTCTCCCTCTGCTCACTCTTTCTCTCTCAAAATAAATAAATAAAATCCTTAAAAAAAAAAAAAATCAGAAGTTTAAAAAGTGCTGTGCAGATGAACATGATTTTCTTCTCTCTAGTTTGACCTTTTACAAATTCTCTGCAAGGAGCATGCATTACTTTTGCCCTCAAGGAAAATAAAACATTGTCAGTCCAGGGCGCCTGGGTGGCTCAGTCGGTTAGGCGACTGCCTTCGGCTCAGGTCCTGATCCTGGAGTCCCTGGATCGAGTCCCGCATCGGGCTCCCTGCTCAGCGAGGAGCCTGCTTCTCCCTCTGACCCTCCCCCCTCTCATGTGCTCTCTCTCTCTCATTCTCTCTCTCAGATAAATAAAATCTTTAAAAAAAAAAAAAAAAAAACATTGTCAGTCCAGCCCAGTGTTCCAGGCACTGGTGTTGGTGGGATTCATTCCGTCCATCTGGCAGGTTGGCCTCAGACCACCCCTGAGGCATGGGCCCGTCCCTCAAATGCATCTCCTGGGCTCAGTGCTAATAGTAAGGAGGAGGTGTGCAAGGGCCACCCCCCTCCAGCACCCCTGGACAAGCCATGCCCAGCGCGAAGGCCCTGCAGCGGCCACAGCTCCACCCCAGCCACGTTCACTGCCCCCCAGGGCCCTCCTCTGGGGAGATGAGGAGCCAGGGGGGCTATGGCCATGCTGGTAGCACCCCAGGCTCTGCTTTCTGATGTGTGTATCTCCTGCACGTTTGGGGGCATCTCTTGCGCTCATGAGATCGGCAGAGGCTTTGCAGTCAAAGCTTTTCCTGCGAGTAGCCCTACCTTGGCTGCAGTGCCCGGACAGCCCGGTGGGCACTGAGCCCGGCCGCCTCGGCTTTGGGGTTACAGCATGAAGCACTCTAGGACGCAAGACTGGGGGGAATTTCCTTTCTCGCTTCTTCCTCGCGTTTGACCCATCCTGAGCCAAGGCCAGCTCTTTCCAATTCAGTCGTTGGCAGGAGCCCCTCTCGAGAAGAAGTGTAGCGTGAAGGCTGAGATCCTTCTGAGAAGGTGGAGAAGGAGCACCCAGCCGTTCTCAGCATGTTGGCTCCAGTGATCATGAGTAAAAGGACCGGGTAGGAGGCCCTCGCAGACCACAAGTATTCACAGGCAGGAAAGGAAGTGAGCACGGCTCATAATTTTGGGATCCGCTCTCAGGAGCACAAAGGCGTTCCTTCAGCAACAGAACTGCAGAGACCAAGGAAAATCAGCAGCCTTGTTTTTTCCAAATGCACACTTTATGTATTTATTCAACAGAGAGCGAGAGAGCACAAGCAGGGGGAACAGTAAAGGGAGAGGGAGAAGCAGACTTCCTGCTGAGCAGGGAGCCCGATGCGGGGCTCGATCCCAGGACCCTGGGATCATGATCTGAGCAGAGGGTAGTTGCTTAACCAAATGAGCCACCCGGGGACCCCTGGAACTTGTTTTTTTTTTAAGGTTTTATTTATTTATTTTTTTGAGAGAAAGGGAGAGAGCACGCATGGGGGGAGGGGCAGAGAGAGAAGCAGACTCCCCGCTGAGCAGGGAGCCCGATGTGGGGCTCAATCCCAGGACCCTGGGATCACGACCTGAGCCGAAGGCAGACGCTTAACCGACTGAGCCACCCAGGCGCCCTTGTAAATGCACACTTTAGAACAAAGTGTCCATCCATCTGTACAGCTCTGGGTACTATTTAAAAAGGGGGGGGGGCTGCCTATCAGCCCAGGATGATAAGCCAGGCCAAAGTAAGTGGGGGGCCCCCGGTAAGCTGTGTAAAGCCGAGGTGCGGCCTCAGGCAGCTCCAAGCCAGGCTGCATTGGGGTGAAAGCTGTGTACCCTGCTCCCATGAGCCTCGCGTGTGCCCCATGACTCTCTGTGCCTTGACGTTGCAGGCCTGGCGCAGGTGCCCGGGAAGCTGTGTGCCCACTACGCCTGGGATGCCGGTGTGCTGCTTCAGGCGTGGCCGGCCGTGGACCCGCAGTTCCTCCAGCAGCCCGACGTGGTGGAGATGGCCGTCCTGGTGAGTGTCTCCTGCAGCCCCAGAGCCGGAGGTGGACCTGACCAGGGCAGGTGGTCGGGCCTTTCTGGCCCACCCGGCCTGACTCGGCCTGACCATCCCGCCTGTCTTACACTTTAGCTTAGAGGTCACCACACACCACGAGCTTGTGAGCATCAGGCGCTCACGGCCCTCAAGGGATGAGAAGGTGGACCACGTAACCCTGTCCTGCTTTATAGGTTCTGATCGCCTTGACCTCCTGCGGTGTCGCAGTCTCCTCGGCGGCTCCTGGTTCATTTAGGGAGGAGGGTGATGGTGAGCAGGTTGGCAGAATAGGAACACCTCCCCGAAAAAGCTGTTTCAGAAAGGCTACGTAACGTTTCTTTCTTCTTTTCTTTTCTTTTTTTCTTTCTTTTTTGGTAAATTGCATCATTGTAGATACATAAAAGTAGTTTTTTATTTCAACCTTTTACAGAGCAAATAACTCAGATAGTTTATCCTGTATGTAATTTTTACATATTTAATGTGTTTGCTCTGAAACACATTATAAGGAATATTTAATGCTGATGTGGCTAAAGAGGGAAAGAGGAACAGGGGGGGCTCTTGGCACGTCTCTGAACCACACGTGGGGCCAGGTCATTCACATCCAAGATTTCATTACGCTCTTATCACTCCGTCAGATAGGCATTTCCATTCTCATTGATTTCAGTTGAGAAATCAGGCTCGGAGAAGTTGGTCACCTTGCCCAAGTTTATTTGCTCGTTCGTCAGTAATGATCGAGTTACCTGCTGTGGGTGAGGCACAGTGGTCGGCTCTGGGGGTACAAAACCAAACGGGACAGCAGGGTCCCTGCCCTGGTGGAGCTGAAAGCCGAGTGGGAGAGATCGGGAAAAGGAAAGAAAAATAAATAAAATCACTGCAAATGGTGAAAAGGGCCATGAACACACCACCCAGGAGCTGAGGGAGAGCCCAGCCTCACAGGGGCCCAGTCGGCCAGGCCCCAGCTCTTCTGCATCTGTGCAAACCGTGGGCCAACCAGCAGGTCGGTGTTTGGAAAGACGGCTCCATGCAGGAGACCCAGGCCCTTCCTAGCCACTTTGTCTCCACACCACCTCCCCTGGCACCTAGTTCCCCCCCAACCCCACTTTGCTTCCCCCACGGAGGGGAGGACGTGGGCCTGCCCTGGTGGGCTTCTTTCCCAAAGCCTCAAAACCGAAAATAGCCTTGTGGCACAGAGAAGTTTCTTTACCCTAAGTAACGTTTATAAGAAATAATCCCACGTACCCATGAGAACTTGTCCTCAGCACGAAGAAGTGCCAAACTTGAGAAACCGAAGTTTGAGTCTATACAATACCATTCCACTTTAATCACTGTAGAAAAGACATCTAGTTCTGGTCGGTCATTGGTAAAATGGTTTTAAATTATCGTGGGAGTGAAAACCCAAAGCTTGAGATGTGAGTAGGACTCCCTGCAGGTTCACCCAACTGGAGAACTTCCGACTCAGGGCACCGTGCCACGTGGCGGAACTTCCGTGGAGGCCTGTGTTCTGTGTCCGTGTGACCTCAGTTGGTGCCCTGGCCAGAAATAGCAGATGCGGTGACAGTCAGTGTCATTCAGTGTGGTTCAGGCCCGCCGTGCCCGTAGTATGCAGGGCTGGGCCCAACACCGGGGATCCCCAGCCCAGAGGCACCGCCTTAGCTTCCAGCAGCTCAGTGCACAGGAGGGACCGTCTTAAGGGGCCCATGACTGCCACGCACACAGGGAGTTTCTGTAGCCTCCAGGTTAAGGCATAGAGCTTGGGAGTGAGACCATCCTGCTTGGAAGTCTTCGTGTTACAGAATACTTCTGTAGGCCTCTGTTTTCTCAACGACGAAAGGGGGCGAACTCAGTGCCTAGCTTTGCCCATTGTGAAAAGAATTAGATTAGATAATGCCAGGAACTGCTTAGCCCGCTTCTGGACACACTAATGACAAAACCCACTAACAAGTAGTGAGCGCCGACTAAGGGCTGGGTGCTGCCCTAAGATCTTTCCAGATACTGACTCGTTTACCCTGCACGACAGCCCTGGGAGTGGGCCCTGGTCTACCCACGTCACAGACGAGGCCACTGTGTGACCCAAGTCCATTTTACAGGTGAGGGAACGGCAACAGAAGGGGGCCCAACCCCCGGGGGACATGGCAGGTGCTGCTAGCTGCTGGTGTGGACATCACTGCTTCTGGCAGTGGGGCATGGTTGCAAGGGGGCGTGGGGCCTGGGCTCGAAAGAGGAGCAGTGTTTCCCTGGTGGAAGAGGATGCCTGATCGCCGGGAGCAAAGGCAGAGAAAGCCCTCAGTGATGTCAGGTCTGTGAGCCGTGGAGAGGCTAAAACATAGGCATAGGCCGGGCGCCGCTGGGGAGAAGGCCAGGCTCCAGCCCCGAGAGGGTTGGGGGCTGGCAGGGCATCTGATCAGGGGGAGGAGAGGACCCAGGAGGTTCTTCTGTCTCCACCACTTGCTGGGTGAAGTGGCTTCACCTTGTGTGCCTCGGCTTCCGCATCTGTAAAATGGGCACAGAGTGGTCATGCATGTCCCTCACAGGGCTGTGGGAGGAGAAACAGGTTGGCTTAGGTGGATTGTGTGGCTCAGCACCTGGCACGGAGCAAGAACTTAGCGGGAGCTTTCATTGTTCCTAGCTATCACATGTCGCTGGGTGGCCATGGGTGGGACAGGGGCAGTGCTCACGGCCAGGGGCCCATGAGGCAGCAGTTGGAAAAGTCTGGGAGAATGATGCTGAGGCCCTGGACCGAGGCTGTGAGTAATGAGGGAAGGTGGCAAAAATGGAAGTTTGCAGGGCCACCAAATGGGGACTGGAAGACTTTTCTCAAGTCAAATGGCCACTATTTGAGGTGATTTGAAAGAACTGCTTCCCCTTTAGGCCCCTGAAGGCCAGGTCCAGTGTGGAATCCCACCTGGGCTTCTGTTGTCCATTTAACTGTTGCCTTGTGCCAGGAGGTGGAGTGTGATGGAGACCCACTCACTCTGAAGGGACCGCCCTAGGTAAGGCAACTCAGGGGAGTCCCAGGAGCCAGAAGCCAGGAGAGGGTGCCCAGGGCCGCATGGGAAGGCCCATTGGGCTTCCTGGCCACATCCAGAGGTCACGAGCCCCACCCCTGCCCCAGCTGGGGTCAAGAATGACTCAGCTCCCTGGACAGGCCTCACCAGGGACAACTGAGGGCCAGCCCCCAGGCTCTAGGGAAGCACTTGGTCTAGAAGTATTTCGGGTCATGGTGCTGAGGCCGTGTATCGAAGAGGCCATCCCACACTGGCTCCTTCCATCCTGGCCGGGAGTCCCGACAAAGACCGGGGGACAAGGGGGTATGGGGTGTAAGGCCTAGTGAGCTGGTCCCTTCAGACAGGTTTTCTCCCTCAACAATCCAGAGGGATCCATCCTTAAAGAAGAGAAAACTGAAGTCCAAGCCTAAGAGTCTGCACAAGAGCACGTGCTCTCTCCCCCAACACCCCACCACGGCAAGTGGCCGGGGGAGCCCTAGCCCTGGGCCACTCTTCCCTGGGTGAGAACTGAGACTGGAGCCGTGACTCATGAACAAGAACCAGTTCTGAGACTGCCGTGTTTGGGGCCCCCAGGACTTCATGAAGGGTGCGGCTTTGGTGTGACAGGATGGGAGATCTTTTCTGAGGTCTTAGTCAAAGCAAGCCCGCGGTCGTGAAAGAAGGCGGCTTCCAAATGGCTTAGAAACAAGATGGCGGGGGCGGGGAGCGAACAGCAGCCCTAGTCCCACAGCTTTAGGACACCAAACCCCTGCATCCGGGAGACTCACACTTTTTAGAACCATTTTCTAGAATATTTCAGGACACAATGTGTTACCGTCTTTGGCTCCCACCCAGTGACGTAGGTTGTTGATGCAACCAAGAAAAATGCCCCTGAGTTTGACGTACATCTGAAAAAAAAATGAATGAGGCACACCTGGTAGGCTTTGGTTGCAACCTGAGAAATTATTCCTGGTAACTTTTCATAATACGGAGTGAAAAAACCAGGAGCGTTAGTGAAAGTGTTCTCAGGGGAGCGGTGGGATGGAGGATTTGAAGCACGGCTGCTCAGAAGCCATGTGGGCCGTGAGAGCACCTCCCCCCGCCAAGCTGATATTGGTTCACATTTGCTGTGAAGCATGTCCTTATTGAGCAGTACTCAGTGAATAGCCACTGATGTCTGGAACTGGACCGGCCCGTTCTTGGCAAGGCTGAGTTAAAGTGATGTGGGTCCAGTTTCCCAGTCCCCATGTCCTTATTGAGCGGTACTCAGTGAATAGCCACTGACGTCTGGAACTGGACCGGCCCGTTCTCGGCAAGGCTGAGTTAAAGTGATGTGGGTCCAGTTTCCCAGTCCCCATGCTTGGGCGCTGCGTTCTGGAGTCCGGCCCCCGATAGCGAGGTTGCCTGCCTTCCCCAGGAGCCAGTCACCCCCCAAGACCTGGGTAAAATCCTCGGTGACACTCGCTGTGAGCGGACCTTCAACTCGATCCCCAATGACACAGCCGTCCCTCTCCCCCTGGAGGCCGCTGAGGGTTTTGACTTAACTTCCAGCAGGGCGCGCTCCAGGTGTGGTGCCCCATCCTCTCTCTCCCAGTCTGTGGTTTTCGGGCATTAATCCTGTCCTCCCTGCCCTCTGTCCTCTGGGGAAGCTGGTGCCGCATCTTCCTGCTTCCCACGGGCGTTGGTATGGGGCCACCTGTCACCCTCAGGATTGTCCTCATCGTTTGTCTCGATTTTCTCCTCCTCAGATCAACAACAAAGCCTGCGGCAAGATCCCCGTGCCCCAGGGAGTCGCGCGGGACCAGGACAAAGTCCATGAGCTCGTCCTCCAAAGCGAGCTGGGTGTCCAGCTCTTGCAGGGGCGAAGCATCAAGAAGGCTTTCCTGTCCCCCAGAACGGCCCTCATCAACTTTCTGGTGCAGGACTGACTACAGGGGGTGCCCCTGAGGAAGGAGGAGTGTGCTGGCCCAGGGCAGGGAAGAGACCAACGTCTTGAATGTTTACCTTCATGCTCAGTTGGGTGGGCTTGGGCAGTGCGGTGGGGCCTGGCGCAGGGGTGAGGGTGGGTGTGGGCAGAGGCGGAGGGCTCGGGCAGCTGCTGCAGGTGGGGGAAGCCAACTGAGGCATGTGAAGCCACCAGAGGAACTGCTGGGTGTCCCCTGGGTGTCTGCAGGAAGGCGAGAAGAGAAGCGAGAATGAGTGGGGCGCCTCTCGAGCAGCCTGGGAGCTCTGACTCCTAGAAATCGTACACCCAGGAACATGAGGGTAAACTGAGGACCCACACACCGCACAGGAGCAGCGTGGACAGCCAGTGTTGGACGGGGGACAGCCTGGGCATCGTGGCAGGTGGTCTCCTCGCTTTCACGCTGGACGGAGGAGCCATGTGGGTCATGTCCAAATATCCAGTATATGGCGTGGCCACTGCGGTCTGCAGAAGCTGCTCCGAACCCGAAGGCAGGCGGGGCCTGTCCCTCCGCAGTTGTCCCCACTGCGGGCCTGCGCGGATGCTGACACAGGGGCTCTTCCTAACCACTCCCTCGGGGTGTCAGTGTGCTGTGTAGTGAAGCAGAACCACGCTGGTTCCGAGCTCAGCTGGAACCAGCCCGTTCCGGGGCGCACCGCAGCCCCGCGGGGAGGCTGCTCAGGTGGGCCTCAGATGGCCCCGCCGTGGGTGTGGCCCCAGAGCCAGGCATTCGCTTGAGCAAGCTCCCCGCGGCCGAGGGGGCTGGTGCCACCGGGCGCTGCCTCCGTGTTCAGGCCACCGCCACCTGGCTGCCCGGGAGGGGTCAGGACCGGACCCCCGTTGTCGGTGCATTAGGGTAATCTGGTTTTCTGTGAAGTCAGCAATTAGGTGCTCTTCCCAGAACTGGCCTGAGCCACTGATTAATACTTAATGGGGCAGTGGAGGAGAATTTAGCCATTCTGTGCTACTGAAAGGCTATGTGTTCTGATGCTGTTTTTCTGAAGTAGCCTCAGATGTGTCTATAGTCGAGCAGCTAACAGATGACTTTTTTTAACGCAATAAAATATGTGTCATGTGTGATCTTGGAATAGCCGCCATATTTCCCATTCTAGGAGTTAATCAGGAACAGATCGAGGTGTTCCATCATCATCAGGAGCACATGGAAAGTCATAAAGTGAGGTGCCTGGAGGACTTACAGAACGTGGTAGACAACCCTGGTTCAGGCTCGTTAGCCACAGGGGTTAAGTTATTGGATCTCAAATGTGGCTCAACTTGATATCATTCCTGGTCCCCATGCCCAGAAATTCTGATGTAATTGATCTAAGGTGTGTTTGGGCATCAGGGAACCTTACAAGCTGCATTGGTGAGTCTAATGGGCAGCAAAGTGTGAGAACCACTGGGTTAATTGATGGATTTGAACCGTAATGTCTAACTAGTCCTTCCTCTCCCTCTCTCCCGCCTCACTGGGATGAGTCTGGTTTGGGACCCAAGCATGAAGGAGCAGAGCTGGGAAAGACCAGGCCCAGAATGGGAGGCAGGGGCCAGAACTCTCCAGCAGGTACTTAAGATGCTCCCGGAGCCCACTTGGGTGTACACGGCCCCATTCCTTGTGGATTCAATAAAAGCAAGTGGATGCCGATATTTGATATGGGGGGGAGCCACGAGTGCTTTTGCTTGATTGTCCCGTTTCTTCCTAAAGTAGCTGAGTGGCCTTGAGCCCATCAACAGGATAAGGGCAGGGAGCCCTTTATCTGCACGTAATCTGGCCAGAGCAATGGGCCATTAAAGCCTCAAGGCTACTGGACTAACCAGCCATGGCTTTGGAGAACTTTTTTTTTTAAAACAGGAGCTCCTTGGTACTACTAGAGATGGTTGGTATAAAGAACAATGGAACAGAATGCTAATCCCTGGGGGTAGGGAGGTGGGGTGGGGAATGATCTCAATCCTTTATTAACTGCCTTGATTAGGTCAAAAACCGGACTCAACAAGTTCACTTGCATTATGTCATGTAACTCCCACAAAAACCCTACAGGGAAGGAATTATCCTCTCTTAAATACAAAGAAACCCAGGCTCTGAGGTTCCGTGATTTGCTCAGTTTCCACAGCAGAAAAGTAGAACTGGGATCCAAACCCACATCTTCTGGCCTCCGAATCCCCTGATGCCACCCTGCTGTGTTGGCCCGGCCCCCCGCCCCCCTGTAATTGCCCGTCTTGGCCCGAAGTGCCACAGTCAGGAAACGGAGACGCTGGCCAAAAGTCAGCATTCTGAGCAAAGTCTGGCCTGCCCTCTCCTGTGAAGGCCTCACCTCTGTAAAGCCTGGGAGCCACGACACTGGCCTTGGTGCTGGCACAGGTGGTGGGTGCTGGTCCAAGGGTGCGGTGTGGGTTCCATAGGGCTGGAGGCAGAGGTCATTGCCAAATCGGTGGAACGCCCAGGTTCACGGGCGATGGCAGGGCGATGAGTGAAGAGAGTTTACACATAGGGAAAGCGGCGCCTGGGAAGCCCCACGGCAGGCAGATGCCCCTACAGTAGGTGCTAACTGTCAGCCAAGGAAAATGAAATTGATCTCTGAGCCCCTAAAACAATAAATGAGCTGAGCAAAGGCTTAGACATGCTTCAGCCCAACCTAATGACATGCACACCCCTGGGGAGCTGGTTAAGGAAAATGGGGTACAGCCAGTCAGTGGAAGACGAAGCAGCCAGCCAAAGATGGTTTATTTAAAAAACCATGTAATACGACATTTTTCTCATGAATAAATCAGTATATTTACACAATGTGATCCTGACCATAATTTTTTAAAAATTCCAACCGTTACAGAGAGAGAAGGAAATTTGCCCACAAATCATTGGTGGACAGTCCTACGAGTAATTTTTTCCTTCTGTTTACTTTTTTTTTTTTTTTTTTTTTTTTTTTTTTTTTTTTTTTTTTTTTTTTTTTTTTTTTTTGCATATTCCAACTTGTATTGGCCATGTGATATTTCAATAATGGGGGGAAGATAAAATGTACAATTTTGTGAAGATCCAAATGAGCTAAAGGCCTGCCCCCCTTGATTTTTCTTTTTTCTCCCACAGTAGCAAGTTGCCCGTTGGGATGTGCCCCAACTAGGAAAACATAGGCTCTTTTTTGTATGCAGTAGAATCTAAAGAAGCAAAAAGCAGCCCCATGAAGCTGGTGTTTGCAGCCACTCGGTGTGGGAAGGTGTGCGACCCTCCTGAGCATCTCTCAGCCTCAAAATCTTGCAGCCCGAGGACAGAAGAAGAGGAGGTAACATTCCCTTCATGGAACTTTCCTGTCCTCGGTGGATAAACCAATATGGCAGCCAAGAGTGTGAGCTCCGGAGTCAGCCAGAGCAAGGTTCTGTGACTACGTGACCAAGTGACTATGTCACTTGAAACAGTGAACCTTTGTTTTCTCAACGATAAAACAGGACTAAAAACCATGCCTTGGGCAGGGCGCCTGGGTGGCTCAGTTGGTTAAACAACTGCCTTCGGCTCAGGTCATGATCCTGGAGTTCCAGGATCGAGTCCCGCATCGGGCTCCCTGCTCAGCAGGGAGTCTGCTTCTCCCTCTGTCCCTCCCCGCTCTTGTGCTCTGTCTCTAAAATAAATAAATAAAATCTAAAAAAAAAAAAAAAAAACCATGCCTTGGGGTATGAGGATAAAGTAAGAGAATGTGTGTAAAGCACGTGGCACATAGTCTCTCACTAAAAGAGAATGGCTCATTATGAGTAATCTTGCCTGAGTAAAAATAGGCTAATGGTCTAGAATGGGATTATCTTTGGTCAGAACGAAGGGAACATTTAGAAAAATACGTATCCCGGGCCTGTTGAGGAAAAAGATTTCAGCAGTAAACTTGGAGGAATTTTAATCCCGTTGGGTAGAATCAGCCCTATTATTTGGTATTTTCACCTCCTGTCCTGAAACCTTTTTATTACCTGTGTCCATGATTCCATGCCTGCTGGTTAGTTTCTTGGAGCTTCATCTGGGTGACGGTGATCTCTCCTTGGTGCTGGGGACCCTCTTTTCCTTACGAGGTGGCCCAGGCCACAAACAGTCTGACAAGGATCCGGGAAGCTCCCATCTTTCTGGCCCCACGCTCGCCATCCGCTTTTGTCCCAGGACACATGGGATTGTGACATGGGAAAGAATGCAGCAAGGGACAAAAAGCCAAGAGCTGGAAACCATACGCGTGAGCCTAGCCTCAGCCCTTGGATCAAGTCTGGTTTGGGTGGGTGGCCTGCCGGGGCAGCCAAAGTAGAAGGTTGCCCGAGTGGCCTCTGTGCCCTTTCCTCTACAGCAGGTACTGGAAAGGGGAGCCTGTGATGTCCGGGGGGGCCTCTCGACTGAGTGGAGCTGCCATCATTCTTACTGTGTCCCCTGCCTTGGCTTGGAGTTTCCTGATCGGTGGCCTGAGGCTGCCAGGAGCAATGGCCCAGTGGTGTGAGCTGGAGGAGGTTGGGGGCCACATGGAAAAGTCCACCAGAGACCCTGGGCCTTTCGTGGCCCAGGGGCCTCTTGGCCGGCCAGTGCTCAGACACAATGGCCTCCAAACCAAAAGTGGGGCATCAGAAGTTTCCATTGACAGGTGATTTGGGACCACAGGCCAAAGAGGGCATGGTTCCTGCACCAGCCGGCCTCCCCGCCGGCTGCCCCCCTTTGTCTTCCTCCTCCTGGAGGGGACTTTGCAGGGACTTTGCCACTGCTCTGGCATTGTCACACCAAAGTGACAAAGTGGGAATTATGACCCACTTCCTACAAATCAGGAAAGAAGCCTAGAAATGTACAGTGAACTCCCTAAGTTGTAGCACTAGGAACTGCTGGAGCCCGGACCAGCCCCCGGCCCCTGCTTCCTCCACAGCACCCACCTGCCTACCTGGGAGGCAGTACAGCTCGTTCTTGCTCTTTCTATCCAGAGAATTCTGAACTGGAGCTCTGGCAGGCGTGCGGCCCTGCGGATGTGTCCCTCCTTGCAGAAGGGGCTGGGCTTTTGTGAATTTTTTTGCACCTATCCACCGTTGGCTGCGGGTCACTTCTGGGGGGTGGGGGTGATAACTTCCTGGGCATCTGGGGGTGAAGGGACTCCCCTTGGCTCAGGGCAAGTCTCTGGAGAAGGGGCACAGCAGAGCCCTCAGCAGCCGGCCCGTGAAGGGGATCGATCGGTGTGGGTGCGCCCACGGCGACCATCACGGGGAGAGAAGGCGCCAGTCAGAGCCCGGAAAGCAGCGCGTCTGCAGGTGAGGAAGGCTCCAGAATAGCAGCCAGACTCCCAGGAGATGTGGAATGCGGGACGGAGTCTGAGCAAGCCCAGCCGCCTCTGGCCCACCCTGTGCCAATACGCTGTGTGGCCCTGGGCAGTGCCACTGGCCTCGGGGCGGTGGGCGAGACCAACCGCGGGGCCTTAGCATCCCCCTTCTGCTGCTGCTGCTGAAACTGTGGCTCGAATGGGCTGAGACTTGCTTGAGACCACGGCCAGTAAGTGATGAAGTATCTTGACTCCGATCTGTGCCCATTCCACTCGCAGCACCCCTCCCCTGCTTTGTAGGGCAAGCCTGGTGCTCCTGGCAGCAAAATTCAGCTCAGGCTGTAAATCATCCAACGGATGAGCCCCGCTGCACCCTAGAGGTCAAGGGAAGGCACAGGGTAGGCCAAATGAGAAGAGTTTGCTCTCCCCTTCTTCCCTGGGAGACTGAGGAGCAGAAAACATCTGCTTCGTGGGCTGGGTGTCTGTCCGACACTCCAAGGTGGGCGGCTAAAGGCTCTCATCCAAGCTGATGAGTTTGGGGATTGGAATCTGGGATGACCAACAGCGAGCGAGGGGGGCATCCCCCGAGGGTGGGTGGGCAGTGCTGGGAAGGGGAGAGCCTGGAACACGCAGGGAAGGAGGCCCCAGATCCAAGGGTGGGGCCCCTCCAGGCTTCCATCATATCTCTGGGCCCGCCCGCCTGGGGGAGGCGTCTGGCGATCATGAGGCCCTGAGGGGTAGGTGGTGGCCAGGCCCGCTGAAGTCACCCAGCTGGCTTGGGACCCAACACGTATGACTCACCTCCCCCAGCCTCAAGCCCAGAACTTGAATTCCCGTTCTTGTTGGGCCTCTGCAAGAGTGTTGCCTGGCCGGACACCCAGTACGTAGGAGCTACGGTCTGGCATCCCCCAGTATCAGCAACGATGACATCTGCCATTTATTGCGAACTGATTATGTGGCAGGCCCCGTGCTAAGTGCTTTACCACGGGAGGGGCTCATCTCACACCCAAGAATACGGCATATTCTGACCCTGCTCACCACACCGCTTCCCAAAGGCCTTTATGCACCTCCTGGATTTTCTAAGACAGTCCTGGTTTTCTCTCCAATGGTCCCCAGGGTCCCCTAGAAACTACCCAGCCCACACTTCCTGATCTGTGGCTGGGAAGGTCGGCCCACTCTGGGTGCACAGCCGGGTGAGCATATCCCAGGTGTCCCAAGGCACCCAACTCAGCGAGTGCCCACCAAGGGGTCTGGGCTTTCTCTGAGCCTGGGACTGACCACTCCCAAAGGGCCATCACCTCTAGCAGACAGATGGAGCCTCCTTTGGGCCGCATCACTGGGTCCTAGAAGGGAGTCAACTTTGCTCAACCCCATATACTGCTAGGAAAATACCATGGAAGGAG